GAACAGTTTTTTCCCTTTTTATGAAGGCTCTAGTACACTTTACATAAGCTTCTGTATTTGCTTATTGTTCCTAGCTGTTTCTATTCATTGCAACGAATAACTGTAACATTTGAATCTGTATGACTCTGATATCTAGCAGTGTAATCTATCTTGAAGACTAAGGATGATAGATTTTATTCTAGAATACGAATTACAGAAACTAGAAAAGCCAAACAGTTCCCCTGACAAAAAGCAGAGGTACACACCCTCTAACCTACTCTATCAAGCCACCAAGGAGCCTCAGGCATGTGAGCCACAGTATGGAGCTGTGCTCAAAAAAAGTCAAAAATTTCAACAAATAAAATATCACAAAATGCAGCAAGGCACACAAGGCTGAGAACACTCTGTGGAGACACTATATGTCAGAGTTGATTTGGCAGTCAAGAATTCACCTCTTGTTTAAGTTACAAATCAAGTAGTCTCCCAGGTGATGAGCAAAAGGAAAACTGAAATAGGGATGAAGCTTTTAATTTAATTTTTTAAAACAGTAAGAAACAGATTTCAAAGAAGTCACAAAAAGCCCATCATGGAGATATCCTTGGAACTCACAGATATCCTAGAACTGAATTCTTTGCTTGGTCACTTTGAAATACCTGCTCACACATCTGTTTTCCCACAAGTAAACAGTCTGGGTCAAGACACAACAGTTGGCAGTTTTTTGCCTCACACAATTCCAGCACTCTCCCTCCTCTTCCTCTCTGTTCCAATTAAACAAAAAAAAAAAAAAAAAGAGATTAAAAAATAGTTCAAGCTAACCAATTTTGCTTTGGTAGCAGAAGGGAGCAAAGAAGCAGGACTCCTACAGTAAAAACAGGGGCTTTGAGAGGGCAGAAACATGCAAGAGATTACGGCTTCTACCTCTGAACTGCTGCCGGCTCGTGCATTGTGTTACAAAGCAAAGTCAAACACATTAGTTTAAAGGCCAGTGGCCTCCAATGGAGCGGAACAGAGAAAAAGCTCCCATTAGCCAAGCAACAGACTCTGCTGAAGGCAGCAACCACTTTCTCTATTAGTTGCTGTCTGCCTGCATAGTGCCTCTCCTCTACCTGCGTGAGGTCTAAAGGTTAGCTTAAACAAGGCGGCTTGAGGTAAACCATCTAACTGCACGTGTCATGAGATAGGCTGCTTACACAGTCAGTTATCAGGTCTCAGCTGAGAGGCAAGAAGTTGCTGAATTGTAAACCTTTAGACTACAACCTTTTTTATCTACATAGAGGAAACAAAAAGTTTCATCATGGGCACAAACACTGCTGTGTTTCATCAGTTTCCTGCCAGTCAGCACTTACCCAGGGAGGTATCACAGCAGGGGTGCCCAGGTTCAAGCTCACAGCTACAGCAGCCTGACTGTTAAGTGTGGCACTGTCAATCTAATCCAGAGGGTTCCCAAAGAGCAAATACTCAGTAGATTCAGCTGCTGCTTGGCTTCTGTCACCAGATTCTGAACATCTTACCCCCAGATAGAATGCAGATAACGCAAACAGCTGGCATAAGAGGGAATCAAAATATACCAGAACTACATTGTGGCACTGGCATGATGACTGGTGATTACATTACAAATATCAGAATTAAGATACCTCCAGGTAATACAAAGCCAACTTCAATACAGTCAAAGTCTACTTTCCTAGTTTTATATCTATCTTGCAACACCAGGGACCCCTCAGTTAGCTTCAGGTGAGTTTTTATGTCTGCAGTGTTCAAATCAAGGCACAGCAAAATATCTTACTGCTCTTCTGAAAACTCGGAGCAAGGGTAGGTAGGGTGGTATCCTTAGAAAAACCCAACCTATTAAAAAAGAGAAAACAAAAAACAACGAAGACATAACTGTGCCATGAAGTTTCAGAGAACACAAAATTCCTCCTACCCCACAGAGGGCTGGCTTCAAGCCCAGAAGAGTGTTTAATACCAACATATTGGAAAAAATTTCCATATTCCACAATCTGATAGACTTTGCTGTAGACCATACTTTCTATTTCCCCCCTTCCACTCCTCCACAATAAGTTGCATGCTATTAAGAAAAGAGAGCTTCTACAGCTCTATACTGAAGCAAGCAACCATGACTATTTTCAAATCATAGATAAAAGGTCATATCAGCAGAAAGGGAAGTTGATCTAAAAGAAAAATAAAATCCACCTGGAAAATTCAGCTAGGAAAAGGTCATTCACCAAGACTTCTTCAGGAGAAAGGAAACCACAGCAAGCAGCAGGTTACAAAGGAACAAGAGAAATCAAGTCAGTAAAATCTACCTTAAAAATAAGACAGAGGGGCTTGCATCTTAAAACTCATACAACATGAATTTTCACTAACACATGACAAATTATTTAAATCCACATCTAGGGGAAAAAAAAAGAACACAATTCTAGTAGAGAATTCAAACCCGGACCCTATTTATGCTTAAGGGAGCAGCATTTCACCCGCATGCACAAGTTTACTAGACTGACTACAACAAGGAAGAGTGCTGATCAGCATCTGCCACTGCAAAATTACAGCGCAAGACAAGAATAAACTTTTGAGATAGCTGTCACACACACACAGAGAACAGACCTTCATGAAAAGCCCCATTGTTCGGGGTCTTGGGAACTGGCTGACATAGAGGGAAGGAATTATGTTGATGAGTTAACTGCAGGGTTACTTGTCTGGCAGATTGAGCCAAAAAGATCAAGCTTAAAATGACTTGCAGTATTCACTGAATTCCCTTGTTTAAGGTCCTACCACAAACCAGATGATATACAGCTATACAGCATTGTCTGCCTGATTCCTTTATGGCAATAACCTAGCTGAACTACTGTGCCATTTTTGGTTACATTGTGCATTACCCCATTTGCAAACGTGAGCAGCACAGAACATAAATAGGATACAGACCTCCTGAGGGAGTCTTATAAAACAACCTGTGTTGTTAGCGTGTTGAAAACAGAAGTTCAGCATGTCAGTGACAGTCACAGAGAAGTAAACAAAACTGGATACATTGGATTACGTTACCTGCAAAGAACAGAATATAACGAAAAGCAAGTCTGCCATCATTGTCCAGTGAAGGTAAAGGATCACGTATCTAACATAAGCAACCAATGCAAATGTACAATGTGGAATGGAGAGAAAAGCTGTTCATTTGGGGAAAAAAAAAACCAAAACCAACAATGCTAGGATGGATGAGAGGGAAAACTTAGTCAGAGGCACAAAGGATTACTGACTTAGAAAAACAGTAGCATGAAATTGGTGAACCACATTGTTCCATTTGCAAAATATCATACATTTAATTTCCTCAGACCTGTTCAGTTAGTCTCATAAAACACAAGTGAAGGATGATGTAGCAAAAAAATCCCACCCAAAGATAATTGAAGAGTTGGCAGTTTTCAGGGTTTTAAAGAACAAAGTAATAATTCTGGCTATGTCAAAGGTTACATCTAGAGGCTTTAACATTCCTCTCCACTCCCCCTATTAGTTAATTACCTCTGACAACTCAGTAACTTTGCTTACAAGGTAGATAGAGTGTTGCATGCCTCCTACTCAAAAAACATGAAGCTGCTGAATTCAAGCCCTTCCTTTAGAGGTACCACTAACAGTGCACAAGGACTTAACAGGCTTTGCACAAGCTCCGCCTATAAGTATGTATTTGTCATAAGACAAGTAGTCTTAGACACATCCCTACAATAGGAAATACATAACGTTTCAGCTAATTAGCAAAAAGTGAAGACCTTACTTCTGTTCTGCTATCACAAAGCGTTAGCATGTTTGAAATTGCAACCTTCTTATTCACTGCTGTCCTTAAGTTCATAAAACAGCAAAATCTAGAGGCAAATCTAGCAGCTTAAAGATTGGATTGTAGAGCTTTTATTGATTCAGTCAATCTTTCACAATTCATACAGCAAAGGGGATTATTGTGATACTTTTTTAAAGACCTTTGAAGTGGCCAGTTTTAAAAGAAAAATTTTTTTTAAAGGGTTATTTCTAAAGATAGTTAGCCTTCTGCACACCCACAAGGACAGGAGGAAGTTGAATGCAGGGAATCTCAGAGGTCCTGCATTCCCAGTTGCTAGCCAGTGCAAGAACCTGTGGCTTCCTGACAGTGCAGATCAGGCTCTGTGTCCTCTGCTAAAATGGCTACCCCCACCAATCCTTGTCTTTCCTTCTGCTGCCTCAGTCTCTTCATTCCACACTTTCCCCTCTTCCCGGTCTTCTTGTTTCATTTGTCTTGTTGCTTCACCCTTCCACATCTGCTTATCCTTTCATTTCTCCTGTCATTAAAGTGAAGCTGCAGTAACAGGCTATACTTAAAATTACTTTCAGCAGGGTCCTTTCAATCTGCATCCATGGCATCAGCATCCAACTTCAGGAGTCCACACTCAGCCTAGATTCAGAAAGAAGCCACAGCACCAAAAACTGACGACGATGCAGGTGCCTCAGCTGCAAAAAACGTCATCAAAGCCAACTGTATATACAGGAGTTATGTTTGGCTTACAAATCTTATACTCTTGTATTCTTCCTCTCACATTCCCTTATTAGAGCACAAGTTGTTTGAGGTAGAGATTTCTGGCTATTTGTTCTGCAACATGCCTAAGGTAGTCAGGCCCTATTACAACTGTCAAACAAGAACCGTGAATGAAAACAATTCATATGGGAAGTGACAAACTTTGAAAATTTGCTTCTAGTTCCAATTAGCCAGGATATTTTTCGCTTAAAAGGAAAAGGCAAGTGATAGGCTACGCAGTGCAGGAATCTGAGATGTGAACAGTTCAGCCTGGCTGCTGGAGAAAGTACAGATCATGTTTTTTTTCCCCTCAATTAAACAAAAAGTTACATTCCGAGTTTCACCTTCACGACTTTCAAAAAAGTCCTCCCTTCTCTACTCAAGAGAGATTTGAGCGAGGGGAACAAGGACTCCACAATCTGACAAGAAAACAAGACAGCATTCATTTCTTCCAATAATAGTCATTTCTCACAGTCTGAATTTAAGAATTCACCCTTACCTCAACTTTGCTTCCTGGATCATGAGCTGCGGCAGCAAAGTAGACCACCTCCTGTACTTCATCCCTAGGCCGTGCAGAGTTCTTTCCAAACACCACCAGCCCATCTTTAGAACATGGGGGAAAGGCTACAAAACAGTAACTTGGGGGAGCTGCAGCCATCCTAGACAGGAAAGGAGTAAACAAACAGAAGCAGTGTTTGCTGAACTCATAATTGCATGCATTAGAGAATCATTCAGTCTACTGTTACTTGCTGTAGCTAAGAAACAGTGCATTCCCTCTATCTGTCAGTTGATTGTGCAATGATAATGGAAGAACAGGTCAGCTCAGAGGAAGCTTATCTGGACTTAATAAAAAGAATGATAGTCCTTTTCAGACATTTTTCACCCAAGACTTGTAAGGGCATAAAGAAGAGGAATAAAGGCAAAATGACTGTACCTTAATGAGTCTACTTAGTCCCCACAGAAAGAAAAAAAGATATTCTGCACCGGAGCTGTTCCAGAACATATGACCTAGATGTATTCTGCTGACTCAGACAAGTGCAGAGACACAGAATAATTTTAAATAATTTACTCTCTCTGCTGCCATGCAGTTTAAAATTTTAAAAAAGGAAAGAGAAAACATGTTTGAGGGATTCCTGAGGGAGGACAGTGGTGTAAGTAGAAACAGAACAAAGATACAGCACAATTATATCAAAAACCGTCCATCAATTTATCTACTCAGATAAGAGAGAGACTGAAGCACTAATTGCACTTTATTTCCTCTGAGGTTTGTCTCCGTTACTGCTCTTGCCTAAAGTTAATTGATTGCTGTTTATTTGTATATGTAGGCTAATGTGAATATCCTTTAAAATGCTTGTAAGATAGCACAAACATTTTAAGTGTTTGCAAGGACAATATATAATAAATAATGCAAACTGTTTCAAGACTATGCCACTACTGTAGCTGGTCTTGTGTACATTGCTGTATCTGACATTTTTTCCACCATTCAGGGAAACTTCTGGCACATATGCCTACAAAAGAAAAAGGTGGGGTGTTTATTGTTTGTTAAAATAGCACTCAACACAGATGCCTGAGATTTGTTCATAGATCTTATAATTGCATCAGAAATTCCAGCACCAAAATGAACAAATATATTCCTTTTCTCCCTTCACAATATTCTGAACAATTAAAAATATCTACACACATTTGGACTCCTCAGAAACAACCGATACAATCAAAAGCTTCCCCCCAAAAGCTGCTAATTTATTTAATTTATTTGAAAGACAATGCTGGGGGTGGGGGTGTGTGCAAAGCTGGTTTTGATCATTAATCTGGACATCTTTCAAACCATTCAAATTTGACTGTTTGTTTTTTTAAAGCAGTACCATTTGAGCACACACTTCTCACAGAATAGCAGGTTTCCAATATTAAACCAAAGAAAGAATGCCTTTTGGATAAAGGCTATAATCCATAGTGTGGTAATTATTCGTGAAGAAAACACTTAAGAGTTTGCCTATAGACTATGAACGGGTCACACTGACACTCAACCTTGCAAAGAAACTTCAAGAGAAGGCATGTTTTAAAGGTGTCCTCAACCAACACAATGTGGGGTGATGAATTGTCCCTGGAACTCACACAACCTTTTAATTTAGGTAAGATTATACACAAGAATAATCAGCCAGTTGAGTTGAAAATGCATTAGGAAACAAACAAACCCCTTTTTACAAGCAGAAGTTTTACCAGTGGGAAGGAACAAGCTATTATAAGCTGAACTGCCTTTAGCTGGTAAAATACACCTGGCAGAGGACAACTACCTGCAGACTTGCATATTGTGCCACAAAGTCGCAGTACATTATTCGTTCCAGATGACTGTCTTGCAGACAGACATGAAGACAAAGCCCCAATTTACTTGCCACTCTTATAACTTGTGAGTCATCAGAGCATTTGTGATTAAACTGAAATGCAACACGTAGAGCGATGCCCAAGCTTCATCACCAATTAAACCATTTAGTATTTTGCTACAAATTATTCTGAGTATGTATATTTATTTTGGCATGTTGGTGACATCAACATAACTGCTTTCCAGCACCCTAAGAGTTCACATCTACCTTCTGGTAAGTCACCATTTAGTGTTCTAAATTTGTCTTCTGATGCTTGCCGGACCAGCCAAAACCTTGAATAACTTGAAGGCTTACTTTGGATCTCAGTTTTCAAAAGAAATATTTTTCTTTATTCTAAACACAAACTAAGTGGATTTGTTTGAAATATATAAGGGAACAGAAAGACATTAGACATCCAACAGCCTAGACAGAAAGTGACACAGTACTAATTTTTATTACATAATGTTCTTCAATGTACACACCAAACGTTGCCAGGTAGGCTTAAAAAGATGGGAAGGCGTGCTTCAGCTCTGTGTTACCGAACAAATTGGAAGGTATGCAAGGCAGACTTTTACATGCCTACAGACTGAGTAGGCAGGGAAAAGAATTTAAAACCTGCAGGTATCTAATATTCTACAGACTCCTGAAGTCCTCCTTGGAATAAAGCAGGCTCATTTGTATTTGTGAGGTTTTTGATTTTTTCCTTTAAATATACTGACAGTTACTGAACCAAAACCAAATTGCCATTTTGGTAACACTTTAAATATGAAAGTATGAGTAAGCTACTATAACTAGAGTTCACTTCAACACACGCTGTATTCCATACAAGGGGGTATATAACAGTTAAACACTGCAAGCTGAATGTTACAACCTTGTACTGAAAACACAATTGTTGTAAGAGTTGGCACTGGGATCTTAAATTAGGTTTCTAGAGAAGGAAGCTAGCTAGCAGTATACTACACTTTAAATCTACCCAGCTTGCTAGGTAGCAGTTTTTCCTAGAACCTCATTTGGTTCATTTTAAATATGGCAAGGATGGCAATTTCTCAGATACACCCACAACCTGTGTTTGTTCAGAACACTACTAAACTTAATCTTCCTCCATCATGTAACTAAAGCTGTCTGTTAGCAGCTACGTAGCTAAGCAAGACATTTTTACTTGCCTACTTAATTTTCCTTTTTTTCTAGTTCAGCTTCAGGTTGTCCTCATTCTCATTTTCACACCTTTGCCACCTCTTTGCCCTCTCACAAGATACCATCCGGAGTCAATACCAAACAAGCATCTTTCATCAATGAGATAGACAGTGGGATCGAGTGCACCCTCAGCAAGTTTGTAGAGGACACCAAGCTGAGTGGTGCAGTTGATGTCCCTTAGGGATGGGATGCCATCCAGAGGGACCTAGACAAGCTCGAGAACTGGGCCCATGTGAACCTCATGAGGTTAAACAAGGCCAAGTGCAGGGTCCTACACCTCGGCCACGGCAAGCCCCAGTATCAATATAGGCTGGGGAATGAAGGGATTGAGACAAGCCCTGCCAGAAGGACTTGGGGGTACTAGTGGACGAAAAGCTGGACATGAGCCGGCAATGGGCACTCACAGCCCAGAAAGCCAACTGTATCCTGGGCCGCATCAAAAGAATCATGGCCAGCAGGTCGAGGGAGGGGACTCTGCCCCCCTACTCTGCTCTGGTGAGACCCTACCTGGAGTACTGTGTCCAGCTCTGGAGCCCTCAGCACATGAAAGACATAGACTGCTGGAGCAGGTCCAGAGGAAGGCCACAAAAATGATCAGAGGGATGAAGCACCTCTCAGTCTATGAGGAAAGGCTGAGAGAGTTGGGGTTGTTCAGCCTGGAGAAGGGTCCGGGGAGAACTTACTGCAACCTTCCAGTACTTAAAGGGGGCTTATAAGAAAGATGGGGACAAACTTTTCAGCAGAGCCTGTTGCAATAGGACAAGGGGTAATGGTTTTATACTAAAAGAGAGTAGATTCAGACTAGATATAAGGAAGAATTTTTTTACAATGAGGTTGGTGAATGAAGCACTGGAATAAGTTGCCTGGAGAGGTGGTAGATGCTCCATCCCTGGAAACTTTGAAGGTGAGGCTGGACAGGGCTCTGAGCAACCTTATCTAGTTGAAGATGTCCCTGCTCATTGCAGGGGGGCTGGACTAGATGTCCTTTAAATATCCCTTATAACCCAAACTATTCTATGATTCTGACTTTCATCTACTGCAGGAACAGAATATTCCTCCTTCAGAGTACCTCTGATAAATCAGGCTAACTTACAAAACCACCTACTGTTAATCTCTACTCTCGTTTCACAGGTTATTTGCTCCTCCAATGAAAGGCATTCCTGAAAACCTT